ATTTGATTATATGGTTGACCTAAACATGGTATTGTTTGTATAGCATATTGATAAAATGTTTTAGCTAAATCAATTTGATTTGAATAACGATTTAAATCACCCACATGTACAAGTATATGTTGAATAAAATAAAGCATTGAAGCTTCTTTACATGAACGATTATGATTTAAATGTTGATTTCGTTTTTGTAAAAATGGAAATGTTAATTTACAAATAGAATTTTCAAAATTATATGAATGAACAACATCCTAGAAAATGAATCGAAAAAAACAAACAAACAAATCAGTTTTCCTATTTTTTACTAACGAGAAAAATCTTTCAATTTAATTAATTGAAATTTAAAAATCATTTTTTCGAAGTGTTTCTGAGGTAAATCACTCTTTTGATTTAAAAAAAAATGCAGTATCTCACCAGAATCTGAACTCTTTTAAGAGTATTCATAATTCATTAAGGCGTTCCTAATGTACATAGTTACAATTCAATAGTGATTAATAAGTTAGAAGATTTTCATCATAAGCTGAAAAATAAGTTATCTTAATGATATGACGAAGCGGTATAAGAGAAAGTGATCAGAGTCCGACTGTACAGACTTGCTCAAGAGCATTTCTCCCTTTTTTCCAACACTGAAAATTCTTTTTTTTTATTCTCGATGCTGAGTGTTTTTTAAGTTCTAAAATTTTGACTGAACGAAATCCCTATCGTAAAAATCAAGTTGCAGATCTTTGTTATTTAACACATGATCTATACTCAAAATATGTTGTATGGGCCAATGATATATCGCCCTAACCTCTTTGCAAGTACATTCATTGATAATTGTACGTGAAAAAATAAAAAAACCTGATAGTTTCGGCACATCAATCGAAAAGTACTCAAACATTAATCTTTTTCAATAGCTCAATATTTTTCGAAGAAAAAAAATCTACACCTCAATTTGATTTTGGTTGTCACATAGAGAGGCCAGTGAAAACAGTTAAAGTTTTAAGCAATGGTGGTGGGAGACTTCAGGTCATTTTTAGTCTAGGAAAATGTTTGCTCTATTCGCTAAGATCTATTTAACTCAAAACATTTCATCAAACCGTTCTTGATTGACTCCGGAAAGAAGAGTATGAGTGTTCTCAACCACTGAAAAATCGATCCATGTCAGATACGAAGCAGGGAAGGTCTCCAAGTGATAAATCTCTTTCAAACTGAGACTATATTCAATCAATGGAGCCTAGTGAGTAGATAAATACCATGGAGTGATTCTAGCTGTTAAATCTTTGTTGCTGAGATATCAAATTTTTAGTAGATTTTCCCTGTGGAGTCTCAGTTTTCACACAAAATCATATTTTTGAATTTTGACCTGAGACTTTGCCCACATCCCATGTTTTTAAATAACCATAGCAAAGCATCTATATTTTGACAAATTCAGATCTCAGAGAGACTTTATTAAATAAATTTTGAAATTTTTGCTACAAGTTAATTCAATCGGCACCATTATATGGATAAAGTTTCACGTCAAAATTCAAACTCTATCAATAATTCGACATCTAACCAATAAAAATCCAACAACTCGAACCACTCTAGAATATTTACCTACTCACTAGGCTCTATCGATTAAATATTGTCTTAACTTAAAAATAATTTAGTACTTGGTGACGTTTCCTGATGAGAACAATATTAAATATGCAATAAAAAAAATTTTTTTCAAAAAAACTTACTTGTAATAATTTCATATAATAACCTCGAGCATATTCATAGAAATTTTGTAAACTAGTTTGAATTTCTGTACGTTTAGTTTGATGTTGATTATTTTCTTTTAATTGTTCTTGTTTATAACTAATTTCATTTTTAAAAATAATTGTCCATAAATCATGTTCAATTTTTTTTTCAATTGCATAATCAAGATCAAATAAAATTAATTGTTCATATTGATCAAGTAATTCTTGTCGATAAATCCATATTTCTGATTTATCATTTGATAATGAAACAAGTTTTTGTTTTAATTTTTCACATTCATTAAATATTTCTTGGGATATTGATACAAGATTTTCTGTATCATTTATTGGTAGTATCGGTTTTGTTCGACGATGATTACTGAATATCAAAGATAAAAAAATATACCAAAAAAAAAAAAAGATTAACAAAATAACTTACGGATGAAATCGTCTTCGATTCATTGAATTTGCCATTAGTCAAGGCAAACAATTATGATTATATCATGATTTTCAATGTTCTTTTTTTTTATTAACTAGAAAAAGAAAATTAAAAAGACAGAAAAATAATAATAACATCGTACATGAGAAATGAATCATTTAAACAATAGATTAATACGTGTCGTTGAAATTGCATGGTTTAATACTAAAATAGATTTTGTATAAAATTACAGTAATAATCTTATTCTCATCCCTCTTCTTTCATGTCTGATTTCTTGAATAGATGATAAGTATGTTTCTAGAAAATTTCTTAATAGCTTGTAATGAGAGTTTACATCTTTTCAAAGTATTCCAAACATGAAAAACGGTTTTTTTTTTCTTGTGACTGCGGATCAAATCTGACAATCCAAGCAACAGAAAAATTAATTTGTCATGCTATGAATCAGATACAACTGAGTAATAAATGGTAATTACATATCTACAGTAACTAAGGCATTTTTTTTTACAAATGTAAGTTAAAATATTAGTCTTGATTTAAGTCTCAATTCGATGTTGTCCTTCGAATTACCAAAAGGATAACCAATTTTGATGTCTGACAGAAATTAACAAAATCATATCAATAAAATAAAGAAGAACATTAGACAAAAAAAGTTTTCGTTATGACTAAGACGAAGAATTTTTATCTTTGGTTCACGTGCCTATTTGAGTATTTCTTTAGCAGTTTATTCCAACATGAATACAGAAGAGTTTTGTAATTGATACTTTCTCAAAAGGAAAAAGGCATGAGCCAGAATATACGATGAAACCGGAAAAAAACACTTATCTCTTGTAAAAAATATTGATAAAAATGTTCTGCATTTACAATGGAACATCTACTTAAAGAAAACTCAACTAATGTATAATAGTAGGAAGAAATAAACTCTTTAAACTATTAAATTCTTCTGGAATTGAACAAACTCAATCTGTATATGTCATTATTTTAACCAATAAAAAATCTTAAATTTAAAATAATTTAAAAAAAAATTTCATATTAATTTTTAATTAATTTCAACAATAATTGACATTCATTTTTCTTTCTAATATAGATGTCACTGTAGTTCTTGTATTTCGCTATTCCTCTACGACGATGTCCATTAATAGTAAAGAGAAAGAAAGAATAAGGTACAATCATACATTCGACAATTGTTTTATTTTGCTAATATTTTGTATATATATTCATTGTTTTCTTGTGTATATTTCAAGATAAAAAATAAATAAATCTTGACAAAAATCATAAAATGGATTCTACTAAAGCTGAAGCTGAAAATATCGAACCATCAGCTGGAAAAGAATTACTCGATAAATATTGGACACAAATAAAACATGAAATTGATGATATTAATATTGTAATATAGAAGAAATTTGTTTTTTTCTTTTGCTATTTTCAATTTATAATTATAAAATGTTTAGGTTGAATTTCGTACGAGTGATTTACCTTTAGCTCGTATTAAAAAAATTATGAAATTAGATGATGATGTTAAAATGATAAGTGCTGAAGTACCAATTCTATTTGCTAAAGCAGCAGAATTATTTATACAAGAATTAACAATTCATTCATGGTTACAAACAGAAGAAAGTCGACGACGTACATTACAGGTTTTTTTTTTATTCTATTTTAAGTTTCTTTTCTTTTCAAACGAATTTTCTTCTCTTCTAGCGTAATGATGTAGCAGCTGCTATTGCTAAAAATGAACTTTTTGATTTTCTTATTGATATTGTACCACGTGAAGAAGCAACAAAAACACATAAGAAAAAAGAAACAGTTAGTGAAGTACAATATATTGTTACATTACCAACATCGAGTGCTATGGGAAATACCATACAATTGCCGAGTATGTTGTTTTTATCTAACGAAGACATCACTCGATGTGATACCCATAATTTGAGCTCAATTGGTGAGACTAAGAAAAGTTCGTCCCTGTGAGGCTTTGGAGTCGAGTTCTGATCATTTAACTGAATTGTCGATCCAGCATTAGTTATCTACTGAAAAGTCAAATAAGGGAATTTTCTCGTAGATGAGGCTTATAATTTTCAGATCGTAGCTTGGTGGTAAAGACCCATAGGGATGAACCTTGTTAGGTTTCTTCGGAGATGTCTTGATGGACTCAAACAGTTGGAGTAGTTTCCTTGTAAATACAGTTTTTAGAATTTTGCCTTTTTTTGTTTTTTTAAGATGGTCAAATTATTCAATTACCTCAAAATTTATCATCAAATATTGTTACTATGGCTGTAAGTTAAAATCCTATATATATTTTATTTATCAAATATTTCCGTTGTTTTTTTAGACTCCACAAACAATTCAACAACATTATACAATTGGATAATAAAGAAAATCGAAATCTTTTGTACAATGTCAGATTTATATCTCTTTTATGTATTCGTATAAATTTAAGATGAATTGTTTTGTGTAATCCTATTTATTGTACATATATCGTCATCATTAAAACTATGTGTTTGCTTTACAAAAAAACAACTGTATATCTATTTAATCTGGATATCAATAAAAATAACTTCAAAAAGAATCTCGAAGTGTTGAAAAATCCATCGAACAAGTCAATAAGTTTTATTTGACTGTAAAATGCAGTGTGAAGTTTCTGATGTGTCGATTGGCAGATAAATCGATATTTACGAAAATATGAATAATCGTTTGGACAATTGAATATGAAATGCTTTTGTCGAAACGATAACCACTAGTGGAATCACGATTTCTTTTTTGGTGCTGCAAATCGGAAAATTTACATTTCGATTAATCAAATCATCGAAGTTAGAAAGTTTTCGATACAGTGCTTTATTCTCTCTCTGGTTTACTATTTATCATCAGCTGTCTTAACTATAAGCAAAGCGAGTAGCAGCTGTGTGCATTTTTGTGATCTAGAGGATTGAAAAGGACAAAGATCAGTAAAACTTGCCTTTTTGAGTGGCTTTCTATGCGGAAATAAATAACAAACTTGTAAAGGATGTTGCGGAAAACGTTGTTGAACAACTTGATATAAACATGAAAATAAAATTCTTAATTGAATTGGAAATTGTGATGCTGAATCAATAATAGCTTGAAAAACATCATGTGTTAATGAACGTAAATTTTTTCGATTTTCATCTATTTGTTCATGTTGTTCAATACGTGATGGATCAACTTCATATGAACCTAAATCAGCTATACATATTTTAGCTAATATTTGGTGCAAATAAATTATATAAATACTGTGGACCATGAAGTTTAAAACAAAATGACACAATTTTTGTTGGTAAACCATTTCCACGTAATATTGTTTGATAACAATCAGCCATTTCAACTTCTTTTGCAAATATGTTTAATAATAATTGATGAAGTAAATGCTTTGCATCAAATATTGTTACAAATACACGAGCTAATTCATCCTAAAATAAATTATTTTATTTTTAATTATTCACATCATTAATGATCGAAATATAGTTTTCAAATTTCAATCAATTAGAAATTATAAACGACACATATCCTAGAGAAAAAAAAATTCTTTGATATATTCAACACTTTTCTCATGTTTGACTCTAATAGAACCAAATACCGTGATCAGTATTGACAACCAACTAGTTCTATGTATAAAATTTTCATGAATATAATAACTTTCAACTTTACAGTGTTTATCATTTAACTATTTGAATAAAGGTAAGTGATGGCCGTGTTAGTATGAATTAGACTCAAGATCAGTTGATTAAACCTATTCAGAATTGTGACATGGCTAACACAATACTGAAAAATAGGACCGCTGTTAATATAAATTCGATATAGACTCCGAAAGTTGAGAAATGAAAGCGATTGGTAGCCGATCACGTATGTGATTATGTATTTATTATCGAGCTCAGAAAAAGACAAGAGACACAAAAGGCAGGGTCTGTCTCTAATGTACTTAACTATGATATCACTTTATCTACATAGTCGTAGACAAAGAAATAGAAGTTAAAAAATGATCTAATATCCGAAATCTGTTTAGTTTATAATATAATGAGAGTGAAAAGACCTAAGAAAACGGAAAAAGACACAGTAGATAGTATGTATTTACAAGACAAGAAAACGAGATACATTCAGTTCAAAACAAAAGTTCTAGTTTTCTCTCTCAAACCTGTCATCGAGATTTCAACCATGGACAGAAGAACTTCTCCCTGCAAACACAAAATACCACTTGTGATCAGGTCTGCAGATTCAGAATTCAATTGATATTGAGTAATATACAAAAAAAACTGTACTTGGAAAAAATTTTGATCCTTGAATATACTACGATTTAGTTTTGGCAATTTTTCATGAAATTCTACTCAAAATGAAAAAATCTTACGTTTTTAAAGTTACTAGCAGAAGTACCCGACATTGCCTGGGAAAGTTCACAGTTAATATATGCAAACAATACTCAATTGTCTATCTAATTTCATCAAAGTTGGGTTGGGGTAAATTTTTCAAATGTATGATGACTAAAATTAGGCAAAGAATTTCTTTGATTAAATCCTTTAAGATTTTTGGGTGTTCTTCTCTATATCTTCGTAAGACTCTCTTTCTATCCTTTGTATTACCTATTTTTACCTGAATCTATCCGATTTATCCTCTTCTTTCTGTAAAACAGCAACAAGATTTATGCCATTTTTATTATACTTCGCTAAGACGCGTACTGTATTGTCTACATTGGAATGAAAATTTTTTCGCATTTGCTCTTGATGAGAAGTCTCTCGAAGATAGATGCTATTCTTATTGGGTGAAATACCTTGCAGCTCTAGCAGACTCCATTGATGGTGAGTTATTGTTTGAAAAAGCTAATTTGAACGTATTCAGACAGATTTGGATTGAAAAACAATTTTCCATTAAGTGTCTAAGAACATCAAAAAGGTTTATTCCTCACCATTCAATAATTGAAAAAATTGTTGGTTGGATGGCTTCTATCCACCCCCCCCCCTCTTTCTTCTGTGCCTATTTATGAGATAGATGAAATTCAACTCCTTGAGGATTTTCCTGAATCCTTTGTTTCTATGTGTTAATGTTTCTTTTCTTGACCTCACTATTTTGTTATTCAACCTGTTGTTATGATTTTCTTTTTTTTTATTTGTTGTTCTTGTTGTGTTTGTTTTCCTTCGTGTTTCTTCCTCTGTCAACTCATATGTACTGATAAGATCGTAAGATCAGTCTTTTTAGCATAATAAAAAAAAATATTCAATTGTGCTTGAGAAGATCTGAAAAGCATAATTGGTAGGAAGTAGATATACACAACTACTATTTTTGCCCCCGTGCCAATTTTGATTTAAACCCTCAGATGTATTCTGAATCTCGATCCCATCTGATCCCACCCTCAAAGAATATAGAATAATAACCTTGAAAGATTGCTCCGAGGTGAGAAATTCTTCATCGTTATATGTGTACATCGAGAAGAACTTAGTAATTCATATAAATTTTATAGACATTCGATATTTCCAAGTGCATCTCGGAGCATATACTTATCTCAATAGGCTCCGATCTCGACTGGCTCTTCTCTCATCTCGTCAGAGTTTCAGTTCTGATCCCGTAGTTGTCTGATTCTATATTTAGAGAAAACCCATTTGGAAAATCGATTTTCCGACAAACATGCAAGGAAACCCAGCTTCTATCAAAACCCAACATGACCACACATCTACTTGGTCTAGAACTTTGGTTTTACAATATCTATGGATTTGAAGAGTTACGACAGTATATCGTGTTTTGTACTGCTGGAAACACACTGAATTTTGATTGGTTGCAAAAGAAGACAGATAAAAAAATCTTCGTGCAGAAGTTCTATTAAGAACTTAATCATCGAAATCTATGATGAATAAAATCTTGAGCCTAACACCCGACTTATTCGAAATCTCCACGGTAGATGATCTTCAAAGAGTCAGTTTCTCTAAAACTCTATGTGTATTTAACATAGCTCACCTAATTAAGTCACGGGTTGTCCAGTAAGGTTTCGTGCTCGACAGATTTCCGAATCCTAATATCCTTCTTGCCCTCGCTCAATGATATTCATTTACTCGAAAACTTGGTGACTGCTGTTTCTGGACTAAAAATTAAGTTATCGAGGTGAATGGACTCCAGATTCGAACTTTTCACGTTGAAAAAATCCTACCGCCTCATTTTCCCGAAGGTATAAGTGTTTTCACCTGTTTTCTTAGGTACTGAATTCCTCAAGGGGGAAACATTGAACTTGAAGTACATAAAGTACGTCAAAGTACAAAAGTAGTTCAAAGTACTTTGAAGTAGCTTAAAGTAGCTCGAAGTTTCGAGAAAGTACTTGAAATTACATCAAAGTACCTATGAAGTACTCGAAATTATCCTAAAATATCTATAAAGGACTTCACATTATCCTAAGGTATCTATAAAGTACTTTGAATTATGACAAAGTAGTACATTCTGCACGATTTGATCCTATAGATCGTCGGTGTGACTCAATGCTGGTTCGTACCGCTGCAGATGTGTTTGAAACTTTTTGATATCACCATTGGACACCCCTCAGTTTACGATCTATCGCCTACAAAAAACAGCTTCTAAAATCCATCTGTCGAATTTTAACAATTTTTCTTATCAAAATTAACCGTGTTTTGGCGTTAAAACTATATGCACCTTTATATTTCTCCTGTCTCATCCTATTTCTATTCTTGCATAAATTCTTTTTGACTTACACCATTCGCTAGAAAAAAGAATGCGCTACATGATGAGATACTTTTTATCGAAAACACACTTCGGAAAAAGGGCTGAATTTTAACAGGTGCGTATAAACTATGCAGACCTTTAGTAAATCCCGTTTTTCTGCACCAAAATAAGATTGAAATTAACTTTCAAATATATCACTGAAAAGATCATTTAAAACAGCACCAGATAGACTATTCGATTAGTTTTTAAAAAGGATATGTTACACTGAAGGCGATTAAATTCCATAAATTAATCCGGTTGGAACCCACCGGTGGGTCCCATCGTACCGAATGTGGTAGATTAGAGTATCTCTCAAATATCTAAAATGTATGGAAAAAGATTACATCGAGTTTAATAAAATATGACAAAAGCTTTATTCACCCATGGAAAGATGGGTGGCGCATTCGCATTACAAGGGGAAGTAATAAAGATTCATTATTTCCTCAAGTTGTTCATGGTTCTTTAGCAAAGTAGAGTAAAAGTACATAACTCAACATAAATTCTAACAGCTTTGAGCTTTAAATAAAAAGATTAATCGATTTGTCTTTGTCATAGGAACTTCTTATTGCGATCTTTCAATTTCGTAATTAAATGATGTTATTATTTGTGAAACTACATATAGTATAATAGTAATTTTTCTAAGATAGCTCCGAAAAAAGTGTCAGGATATTTTATATTATGTACGTCACACTTCATTTCATGTATATTCATTTTTCCATATTTTCCAAATTTCTGTTAGTGTGCCTCGATTCCTAGTTGTCAAATAAGAGTCTATTTATAAAGAAGGAAAAATAACTTCAACAGTTAGCATTAATAGTTCAACAGACTATCTAGATGCTAAGTTCATCACATCTATAATCGCTTCTTACGTCTATGAGTTTTTCAAAAAGACAGACACGTAAAAATGTGTGACAAACTTTAAATTAGCATCACGTTGGAAACCGAAAAATCATTGAGAGACAGACGCTGATAAGAATTCGAAGTCGTTTGCAGTATGATTTGAATAAATCTTACTAAAAAACTGTAACACTGCTTTGAAGCTTCTGATATGTTGTCAATATCAAATGCATAATTATTCAATCCTCCAATGCTGCGTCGGTCATAAATCGGATATTTAAACAGCTTTCTAACACTTGAACTGCTCCTTGTAGGGCGAGGAAAAGAAATTTACTATAGTATTGCTTCAAAGTTTATCGCCCCCCTAAAAAATTGAGTTGGTACCGCCGATGAAGTTGATGATGCTTCACTAAGTACTGTACCAGACACATCTCAGATTGATTCTCAGGTATTATTAAGCAGAGTACGCAAACTGGTAAACATCGTTTGAGATCACAGTCACAGGGGCATCATTCCACAAACAGAACCCAAGCAGACAAAAATTTCACGAAAGGCTTTTGAACACATAAACGAGAATCATGATTGCAAGCCATTCATGGTAATTAGTAAAACGTCAGAAACGCCATTCTTAGCGTGAAACTATTACTTTCAGAACGATTAAACGATCAAAATCTCGTATTTTTAGCGTTTAAATGTGCGAGTTTTTAGTTGCAGCATTAATGCGCGTTTAAACGCTAAAAATACGAGGCATTCATTGTTTAAACGCTCTAAAGGTAATAATTTCGGGCTAAGAACGGCGTTTCTGACGTTTTAATAATTACCATGAATAGGTCACGATTGCGGTTCCCGTTTGTACGCCTAAACACCTTTTTCACAATTTTTGTCTGCTTGGAAAGTCGTCTTTGAAGTTTATTCGGTCGACATGTGATCTTCGGTGTCTTATTTTATATTTTTATTTTGAATGAATCATTGCAATACTTGTTTTGATTCGAATATTTTTACTATTTTCTCTCGAATACGTTGGGAAAAACAAAAACAAATATGAACTACTAAATAAAGAATATATTTTTGTAGTTATATTAAGAAGTTTTGTAGTACAGCAGATCAAGGATTTTTGAAAGGGAAGTGCAATTTTCTAAGGGGTGGGGGTGGTACTATTGTAGACAAAAAATACAGTTTCAGATGCATTTGAGGTAGTGCGAACTTGTTTTTTCGTTTGTTTTTATTGGGTAAAATCGGAAAAACTTTCTCGAAGGGGAACACATCGAAGCGATCGCACTCCTTCTCAATTCGCCATTGTCTCGATCATTACAAAAAATGATTAGGTAATTGTTGAACCAGCAACCACGATGACGATGATGAATATGTTGTTGTTGTTGTAGTGGCTGTGTTGGTGGTGCTGCTGCATGTTGTTGTTGTGGTGGTGGCTGTGGTGGTGGTGCTG